GGGGTTGGAACGTGTGGGCGCCATCTCTGGGTCTGTCTCCCCCCCGTGTGCGCCCTGCACGCCTGCGTTTCCCAGTGTAAGACCCCGGTATCCACACTAGGGGGCTCCACTTATGGCTAACGCGGCTGGATGAACACCTACGGGGTGTGTCGATCTCCCGCCCACCAGAGCAGGGCTACGGGAAAGGGGGCGGTTGTGAGGGGGAATAGTGGGCATGTGTTTAGGGCACCTCCTGGAGGAGAGGGAGGCACGTGCCCAGAGGGGGGTTATGGGGGACATCCTGGAGACGGTGGGGACATGTGTCGGGGGGCATGTCCCAGAGGGCATGGGGCGTGTCTGGGAGGGCTCATGGGTCACATCCCGGAGAAGATGGGGGGGACGTATCTCGGAGAGTGTGGGGCATAAGTCTCAGGGCCGGTGGGGGGTGTCCTGGAGATGATGGAGGTGCATGTCTGGAGGTGGGCAGTTGTCCCCACCCCATAGAGCGTGGAGGGTCAGTGGGGCGTCCCGGGCGGCGGGGATTGGAGTGCAATAATCTAGAGGGATGGATCAGCCCCATGGCTGCAGCCTGACCCACCTCTTTCCCCCCCTTCCCCCCAACTTGACAGAGCAAACGTCCCCAGGAAGCCATCGACGTCTGCACGGAGGCTCACCAGCGGGACCCACGCAACGTCTTCATCCTGCGGGACCGGGCCGAGGCCTACATCCTGAACGAGGAGTTCCAGAGAGGTAGGGGGCCCGGGCGCGGGGCCGAGCCGGAGCAGGTCTCTCACCGGCCTTCCTTTGGGGGACGCTCGGGAGAGTGGCTCAGGGCCAGCTACCAGCAGTGCACCGCTCTGGCCACCACCCTCGGGGAAGGAGCTAGCAGGCAGTGCGGCCTAGTGGCTTGAGCACCGCCCCGGGAGTCAGGACTCCTGGGCTCTGTACCAGCTCTGAGAGGGGGAGTGGGGTAGGGCCTGTGTGTGTGTGTGTGTCTGGGGCCAGTGGGGGCACGTCCTGGGGGGGGGGGGCGGGGGGGGGGGGGTGAGAGGGGGGGGGGCCTGGGAGCCAGGACTCCTGGGTTCTCTCCCTGGCTCTGGTTGGGGAGCAGGGGCTGGTGGATTAGACCGGGGAGGGCTGGGAGCCAGGACTCATGGGTTCTATCCAAGCTGTTGGAGGGAGTGGCATGGGGTACAGTGGGTTAGAGTGGGGGCGGGACAGGGGGAGGGGTATTTTTGTCTACATTTTTCAATGGAAAATTTCCAAAAACAAACAAAAAAAGGGCAGAAATCGATTCCAGATGAAAACTGGTACCTCCTGGGCGATGTCGTTCTGGGGATGGGGTCCCCTTGTCAGACTGCGTATCCCATGATGCTCTGCAGTCATCCCTCTTGGAGACGGGAGGCATTGCCTTGTGGGAATTGTAGTTCGGGTTCCTTATGGCCTGGTTCAAGGCCATCTCCCACGACACACATCACAATCTATTCTCTTCGAGATGGAAAGTGGGGCGTGGTGGGAGCTGTATTTGGAGGGGTCTCCGCCTTCCATGAGGCCCCTCTGCCAGGGGCTCCCATGATGCACTACTGTGGCTCAGCAGGAGGAGAGACCACGGTGCATCGTGAGAGTGTCCTGCGGGTGCCTCGTGCCCTCCATCTCCCATGATGCACCATGGTCGCCCCTTTTGGAGAGGCAATGCACGAGGGAACCCTGTCGCTGGGGTGCCTCTTGGGAGCTGTAGTTCCCCCGGGGAGCCCGGCCCGCCGAGCGACAAGTCCAACAGCAGCCCCCGTGCCTGGCAGGGCTGGTTCCTTGGCGGAGGGAGCCGTGCCTTGCGAGGAGGCTGGGCACGGTGTCAGGCAGTTCTGCTTGGTTCACAGCGGTGGAGGATTACCAGGAGGCCAAGGAGTTCGACGGGGAAAACGAAGAGGTGAAGGAGGGGCTGGAGAGAGCCCAGAAGCTGCTGAAGCAGTCAAGGAAACGCGACTACTACAAGATACTGGGGATCCGGAGGTGGGTGTCGTTGACCAGGCGGGGGGTTTGAACATGGGATCTCCCCAGCCCTCTGAGCTTCCAGTAAGGGGTTTGTGACACCCACCACCCAACGGGAAGACGTTTCAGGCCCCCCGGGCCATGAGGAAGTGGGGATCGGTACGACTGAGCCCCAAGATGCACCTTATTTCCCGTCTGAATTTGTCCCACTTCAACATCCAGTCGCTGGTTCTTAGACCTTTGTCTGCTAGATCAAAGAGCCCAGTTTCTGTGCCCCATGTAGGACCTTCTAGCCTGAGATCAAGTCCCCCCCCCCCCTCACTTCTCTGTGTTGTTCAAAAAAAACGGCGCGGGGGGGCTGTTTTGGGGGGGGGGGGGGGGTTTCAGTCCTTTAATCATTCTTGTGGCCTCCTCTCCAGTTTGCCAACGTCCTTGTGGAATAGGAACCCCAGAACTGGACTATCTGGTGGCCTGGCTAGTGTAGACGGGGCCCCGGCTTTGCCCAACCGCCGGCACGACCCCCCCCCAATCCGCTGCCGAGTAGCTCTCTCTTTTCCGTGTCCTTACTCCGCCTGCTTGCCCCCCGCCCCCTCCCAGGAACGCCAACAAGCAGGAGATCATCAAGGCCTACCGGAAGCTGGCCCAGCAATGGCACCCCGACAACTTCCAGTCCGAGGACGAGAAGAAGGAGGCGGAGAAGAAATTCATCGACATCGCGGCAGCTAAAGAGGTCCTGACAGACCCAGGTAGGGCCTGGCCAGGGGGCTGGTATGTGGGGCGCCTGAGCCTCACCCGAGAGCCCCTGGCATAGGTACCTCCCGAGGGCCACGTGGTCCCACCATGCGTCCAAGCCTGGGCAGAAGCAGTCAGTCACCCGGCATACAGCGCTGGGCGGTGGTCGGGTTAGCCGGGGACAAGCCAAGAAAGGGTTCCCGCAGGCGGAGGCACCCTCCCCCCCCCGAGAAACCACATTTTCCTGGGGCCCCATGTCAGTCGGTCTCTCTCGGTATGTTCTTGGTTCCCTCCCTTGTTCCCCAGATGCAGCCGGGCAGCGATTGGGTGTGCGGCTGCCTCTGCTTTGGGGGTTGATGTCCGGACACAGGGGCCAACTCCGGGGCTGGAGAAGGGGCAGAATGTGGGGTGGAGCACCCCCCCGGGGAAAACTAAACGTCAGCGCCTACGCGTCCCACCAGCGATGTCTCTATCGGTTCTTCTATTCAACCACATCCAGCCAGTTCCAAGCCCCCACCTCTGAGTGCCCCGGTGCCTGGGAGAAATGATCTCTTCCCGGCCAACGGGGGGCAATGCCTAGTGGGTAGGCGCAGGTCCTAAACGTTACCCCAAATCCCCTGCTTCACCCCGCCTTTCCCTTCCAGACATGCGGCAGAAGTTCGACTCCGGAGAGGACCCCTTGGACCCCGAGAATCAGCAAGGAGGGGGAGGGCACCCCCACCACTGGCCTTTTGAGTTTAACCCCTTCGGCTCTGGCAATTTCCACTTCAAATTCCACTTCAATTAGCTCGGGGCGGGAGAAAGAGCTCCGGATGGCACGCCGAGGGGAGAGCGGGGCTGACGGTCTCTCCTGTAATGACTCCTGCCCGCGCCTCCCGCTCATCGCGTCCAACGTTTCCGGCCATGTTGCTTTCTGGCCTGGGAACAGGGCCAGGTCTGGGGCATTTGCTTTCCCCGTGCCCTGCAAAGAGGTGGAGAACGAGATCGTTTCGCCGCCTCTCTCTGGTGTGTCAAGAAGGCCTGCGAGGGTCGCTCTTTCTGTGCTGAATTTCCCGGAGAACTAATTGGATTCGCTCCGTCTGTGCATCGCGTCTTCGCAGCATCTCGGCCCTGGAGCAAGACATGTGCCTAGCCCCCCCGCTTCCCCTTCATCAAGATGGGCATCGGTTTTAATTCTCTTCTCATTCGTGGTGTGTGATGGCTAACGCCCAACGCACACTTAGGAGAAAAGCGGTCTGCGTTGAAGGTTCGGCGCGAACGTTGATTGGAAATTGCCCCTCAAAAGGAGAATTATTTGCCCCGGGCGTGTCTGGAGTGTCTGCCACAGGGAAACATGGCTGCTTTGGAAACTTACGGCTTTTGGTTGGAAAAACAAACAAATGCCTCAAAAATGACAAATTTTCTATTTGGACTCATGGGAGTTGTCATTCAGGAGCCTCATGCCTCCTATGGGTTTGCCTGGCATCTCCAGCAATGCAGCAAGGGCTCCCATAATGCACGCCTCCCCCTCCAATAGCGGTGCATCATGGGAGATGTAGTCCAGCCAGGGCCTCTGGGCTACAGACCAGAAAGGGGGGCACGAGGTGCTTGAACTACATCTCCCATGAAGCTGCCACCACAACCAAATCAAAAATCGGTCGGCATTTGAATTTTTGCCAGGAAATTGAAATTGTCCCGCAGGAAAATTTAAGACAAAACCAGTTTTTTATTTCTTCATTTTTGTTGCGATTTTTCTCAGACCCGTCTTCCTTTTTTTCCCGAGCCCACCCCCATCATGTCATCGGGGGTTTGAGAGAGCACGTGACCCACATAGCTGACCTCCAACAAGCCCTGTAAAGCCGGTGAAAGTCCGCCAGCCATTTCTGCTGTGTGTGTGTGATTTACAAACAAATCAGTCCGGCGGGGGGGGGGGGGGGATTTTCTGGGTTTTTTATTAGTATTTTTTTTATTAAACAAAAAAAACCTTTTTTTTTTTTCCCCCTCCCCCTAAGAAAATCTCCTTTGCACAGTGACAAGCTCTGGGTAAAAACTCACCCACATTCCAGGAAAATTCCCTGATATATTTTTCGCAGCGAAATAAAATTTGTTTCCCCTTCTTGGCAAAATCCCTCCCCGGCCTTTGTGTAGCTAAACAAGACAGCCCCATTCAAAGCTTCCTTTTCCGGGTCCCTTGTGGTGGGCTAAACGGTTCTTTACTCCTTGCTCTACGAGGACTCTGTGAATTTCGGTCAGGGCGGATGAGAGCCCCAGCAGGACTTTTCTTCGGTTAATGAGTATTCCCACCTACCGCCCCCGCTGGCTGGTAGCGTCGCCGTCGGCCCCGCTGATATTTTACTACTGAGCTGGATTTTTCTTCTCCCCCCTTTGCGATTTTATAGATGCGATTTTTAACGTTGATTTATTTTCAGGACCGGGTTGCGCCCTGTAATCGTTGCACGGGCAAGGGGGGGCAGCCGCCCCCGAGCGCTCGGATTAAAGTTTGTATTGCAAACAGGGGGCCAGTTTGCCTTTCCCTCTTTGGGCTCCGGCCCGCGCGAGCTGGGCTGAAAAGGAGGATCGGAGGTTTGCTGCGTTCTGGAGGCCGGAAAGGGTTAACTGTGTTAGTGATCTTAGTAGCATCCAGGGTCCGGTGTCTTTTTCCTGCAAGGGGGTGGCGAGGTGTGATGCTGGTTGTGACTTTTCAGCTCGGCCTGGCCCAGGGGGAAGGGTAGATCTTTAACGGCAAGGACTTTTCTCCCAACTGTGTGTTAGGCCTTGGAGGTAGGCATGGGCAAGAATTGGAATGAAACAAGCCCCCCTCCCCCCCCGCAAGTACGGGGTTAGAGGCCCTGACCAAGATCAGGTCCCCTGTTGTGCCAGGTTCCCCCCCTCCCCCCAACTTAGATCCGGGCCACTGTCCTGCTTGGCACGGCACAGACCCTCCCCTCAACCATGCTCAGGGCCCCCATTGTGTCAGGCACTGCCCAGAGACCTCAGCCTAAAGAGACAGAGTGGGAGGGGAAACTGAGGCACGGAACAGCGATGGGGCTCACCGCAGAGCCAGGAATGGTCCTGCGTCCCGGGCCAGACCAATCAGGCTCTGACAAACAGGCCCATCTGTTCTTCTCCTACGTGTTCTCTCGTCAGCCACGGAGTCGTGAGGGTCCGGATCCAGCCACATCTCAGAATCAGGTCTAGGCCGATTTTCCCGCTGTCTGCTGCTCCAGCGTAGCAGGAATATACTGAATAGACTCCAGCGGTCCACCGTCTGTCCAGCCTCCCTCCTACAGCCAACGCAAGGTGGCCAGCGGTGGCGTTCCTACCGATTGTCCCCAGCCAGCTGCACCGCGTCAAACCAAACTGGCCGAGCGCTTTCAAAAAGCGGGACTGTCGCAGAGTGGGAAACCCAGTGACGAGCCAACGCGGGGATATTCCGGCCCAACCGAGCCCCCAGCCGCATTTGCAGCCGCTCCCAGGGTGTCACGCGGCTGTTCTCGGCTTCAGAGCGACGCTTGGCAGGCCGATCCTGGGGTCTTTGGGGGGTCGAGTGGATCGGTGAGCTCCGGCGCCAATGGGGCAGATAGGATCGGCCGTCTAAACAGGAGCAAGGGATGGGAGCAGCCTCCTGTCTAGAACAAAGGCAAGTCGCTGGGCTTATGCCGGGGTCGGTGGGCGAAAATGAACTGCCCTTTGCTAGCCGGCAGGTCCGATCGACGGGGGGGGGACCTCTGGTGTTTAATGCAGGAGCAGAGGTGGGGTGAGATTGATGGGGGACCTGGGCACAAAGAACACTTGGGGCCCCACCTCCGGCCAGGCCAGGAGCCCCACACTCTCCCCCTGCCCTGGGGGCTGGGTACATGAGCCGGAGGCTGCTCTCGGGCACCCCGGCTCCTACCCAGGGTGGGCGGAGGATCCGGGACGCCCTACAGCTGCCCGGGCTCCATGGGCAGCTCTTACCCTGGCCTAGCCAGGGGGCGGGACCACAGTCCCACCCCGCACCAATTCGACCCAGGTTCTGGTGCTCCTACAGGGGGCCTCAAATTGGCCGGTTCCCGTGCGTTACTCATCTCCGTGTGTGAACCTCTACTGCGTGAGCTAAAAGACGCATCTGTTTTAGCCCAGGCTGGAGCAGTGCCGTCAATGTGTCGCTGGTCTGGGGGACAGAGAACCCCACCAAGCCCCACCCCCCATATTCACCAGCTGGGGATCCGGCCACCCCGGTATTCACCCCACCCACCTCCAGCCTCCCCAGGAACCACCTGGCCTTTGCGTTCACATAACGTGTTTATTTTGTACAAAACAGGGGAAGAGTCTGGCTCCACACGTCCGCCTGTCCCAGGCAGCTCCCCGGCCCCCCCAAACTCCAGACAGCCGGAGAAAGTCAGGCTGGCTTCGTGGCAGAGTCCGGCCGCCCTTCCGCGCCTGCATCCTCGGCACCTTCTGCCTGCAACGTATCAGCCCCACCGTGCACGACCAGGGAGCTGAACCCCTCTGGGGGACCGAGTCAAGCGCCCCCCACCGGCAGCGCTGGGCTCCGTTTTCCCAGCCCCCGCGGATTTTCAAGCGGGTGGAGAAAACGATCGATACTCCCAGGTCGGGAAATCTCAACCACGCTCAGGAGCCGAACGGTTGTGGAGCCGGTCCATCAAAACGCCACCATCCCACCGTTTTGGCTTCATTCGGACTTGAACTTCGGCCAAAAACGTGGAGCTCCCCCATTTTGACATTTTTCTGACCCCTTTTTTTTTTTTTTTTAAATCCTCCCTCCCCCCCTCCAAAGCAGAACCAACACCTTCCCCCAAACCGTTTCGTTTTCTGTGGCTCAGCCTTTTCCCATGGGGAAAAAAAATCTCATTGAAAAATTCCTGTTCACATGGGGAAACTCAAATCCAGTCTCATGCTTCAGGGCTTCATCTGGTTGCTTGTATGGTCAGGAAGATTTCCTCTCCCTCCACCTCCCGCCGTGCACAATGAGCCAGGTGCATCTCGGTTGTTGTTTTTTTCCAGCTTTCTCTGACGCAGCAGGGATCAGCCACAGCTGGAGATGAGACACCGGCGGGGTGGGCCAGAAAACCCTCTTTCTGGGTCCAACTGATCCCCAGATTTGGGGTCAGGAAGGACTTTCCTCCCACAAGTCGGATTAGCAGGGACATTGTGGGGTTGTGGGTTTTTTGCCTTCTGCTGCAGCACAGGGCGTGGATCACCCGCTGGGAGCCCGGGGGCACCGATCGCCCGCTGGGATCCTCGGGGCGCATCTCACCTGCCGCGGTGCGGTGATCGAATGGAGTCTTCTGGCCTCGCAGGTCGTCAAACAATCCTGCCCCTCTCCTGTGGCCGGGCTCGGCTGGCAGTGGAGCGGCACGTCCCTGCAGGGGCCGCCGGCCGCCGAGTCCGGTGCAGGGTGGGAGTGGGGATGGGGGGGAGACTTGCAGCAGGTCCCCCTCTCCCCATCCCCACGCCTAGACGTAGGCGTTCTTGCCGTATTGGCCGACGCTGCTGGCGTCGGAGCCTCTCCGGGGGCGCTTGGGGCCGGCCTTGGGCGCGCTGTAGGGGTAGCTGAAGCTGGCGGGACACAAGGGGAGGGACGGGGTCACGCAAAGCTGGGGAGCCGGGGGGGGAGATCTCCCCTCTCTGCTCCAGGACAAGGGGTCAAAGGCCCCCCCCCACCATTACCTCTTGTCCCGCGAGGGGTGGGCGCAGCAGGAGCCCAAGAGGCAGCCACCCCCAACGATGGCCAGCAGGGATCCGCTCCAGCCCAGGTACAGCGCCGGGCCGATCTCGTACCTGCGGGGACGGAGAGACGGGGGTCAGGGCTGGGTGCCTCCCGCGCGGCGGGGACAGGATCCCGCCCCCCTCCGCCTCCCAGCCCGCTGGACTCACTTGGTGCCGGGGAAGAGGGGGTCAAAGAAGTCCCGGGTGATGTTGAAGGCGTACCAGGAGAGCGCCACCATCCCGCACAGCCCTGGGGGGGGGGAGGGGGCCGCCGGGGGGGCCTGGGGGGGGGGCCCCCCCCCCCCCCCCCCCCGCCCTGCAGCATGGAGTGCACAGCGCTGGGGCAATTCCCTGCCGCCCAGGGCCCATAGGGGG